ACCCTGCCTCCGGCACTCATTAGTGAAGGCAGCCTGTGGCCAGTGTTGCCTCAGCACCATGTGAGCAGAAGCTGAGAGGAACAAAAGGTTAGCACTTGGAAGACATATCAGTGCTGATTTTACAGAGAAATCAAAATCCGTTTAGAACAATTAATGCATGGATTTTAAACCAAGGCAATAATACTCAACTCACAAATCCTCTTGCTCTGGTAAGATACCCGTTGGCAGGGACAGGATTGGGCTAGTTCTCTTGCCTGTGGGAATAGAAGAGACTAAAACTTGGTATTATTGCGAGGAAATTATTTAAAAGTTCCCCAAATGAACAGTTTTCTTTACTTTTTGGCTTCCTCTATGTAAGATGATGCAAGGATTTAAAGACAGTCAAGCCAACTGTTTAGTTTCAAATGCTGAGAACAAAATAATTTCTAATCAAATCATTAAAAATGCTCTGAAGTCAATCTATAGGTCAGATACATATTTGTCAAATGGAATAGCCTCGAAATGTCTCCAAACTCCGTGTTGTAATAGTTTTGCTTATCCTGTTTGACCGTTTAAGGTAGGATTACCCATTTGAGTCCTCCAAATTCAAAGGCCAAGTCAACAACTAAAAAAGGAAAGGTTGTAAGAATCATATCGACACCTAGCTCCAGATACCCACACTTTACCTTTGGTCATTAGGACTAGATAGACATCCCCTGCCTTAGTAACTCATCACTGTGCTTGAAGTCCCACCTCATTCCCTATCTGGCCCTATTCCCCACCCCAATCCTGCCCAAGCCACAGGAGTCCCTACTCTTGGCTGTAGAACAGGTGGGAAAGGTAGGAGAGAAAGTTTGTCTAGTCGAGCTAGTATACATAGGATATGCCCCTGCTGTTGTCGTTTGGAATTCTTAATACATTTTCGAGTAAAAACACATGTGGTTTCAGGTCTATAAACTGTTACCTACGTTAGAACTCAAAGTGCATTGTTCGCATAAAGAAAATAAAATGTTCTAAGTGGCGATATGAGAGTCAACTACATGGACTAAAAAGCACTTGAGAGTTAGCCCTCAAAAACCAGTCCAGCCTATAGAAAGTGAATTTCAAATTCAAGTAATCAGCCTGTGCTCATTTCCTTTTGGTGTGCAGCCACGTACTCGCCGGGGTTTAGCTCTCCCTTGGCTAGCATGGCAGGTGTACATTCTTGAGTAGAGAAGGGAATATCAGGCCACCATGATGACAATTTCCATTATGGTCGCTTAGTTCTCTGCTCTGATCTTAATTTGGCTTCTCAAGGAAGCTTTCCTGCTGGGTAGATAATGAACAAAATGTTTCAGCTGAGGACTCTGGTTGACTTGGCAGTTCCTTCTCATTAAAAATAAGTAAATTGGAATTCTGGCTTATAAATAAGACTCATGTGGATTTGGTTCTGTGCATCAATCCTGAAAGGAACTAGAAATTGCTGGGTGAACTAAAAATCAATCACCTGTCAAAACTTCCAAGGTGAGAACCAAGCCCTGAACCCATCCCCCTATGTCATCATGATCACAGCAAGGCCATGGAGTTTTCTAATTTGTCTGACAATAACTCATTGAACAAAGACTTGGCTGCATACCAAGATATAGCAGCGTGTTGAACAGACAAAACCCCTACCTCTTAGTATTCCCATTTTTGATTGGGAGAAGGGATGCAGGATGGTGAAGACAGACAATAAGGTGAATAAATAAAACAAGATTGAATACTGGTAAATGCTGTGGAAGGAACAAAAGAGGCTGGTGGCTGGAGGGCAACTTGGGTTTGGAGGAAGAATATTTAATCAGGGCAACCTCCCTGAGGGGTGACATTTGAGCAGAGACTCCAATAATAAGATTTGGGGCATGCAAAAGTTTGAGAGTAGAGTCTCCCAAGCAGAGGGAACAGCAAATGCAAAGACCAAAAGGTGGGACGTAGCTGGACATATCCAGGGGTCAAAAGGGTGGTTGGTGTGGTCACAGTCGAGTGAGCAGGATAGTGCTATCAGGAGATGAGGTTCTAGAACTTAGAGCAAACATTGAATTTTATTCCAAGTGTTTCCTGGCCAGAGTGATTGCCTGTTAATCAATGTAGTAGAATTAGAAGCACAGATCCTACAATGCGGCTGTGTGAGTTGACCTCCTGGCTTCATGATTTGTGTAACCCTGGGAAAATCAAAGTCACTTAAATTCCCCGTACGTCAGTTTCATCACCTAGTAAATGGGGCTAAATACCATAAGGTTGTTGTCAGCTTTTTGGAGTAGACATCCCCTACCTTAGTAACTCATCACTGTGCTTGAAGTCCCACCTTATTCCCTGTCTTGCCCTGTTCCCTACCCCAATCCTGCCCAAGCCACAGGAGTCCCCACTATTGACTGTCCAACAGGTGGGGAAGGTGGGAAGGGAAAGTTTTTGCAGTCAAGCTAGTAGGCAAGTCAAAGTCACCTAAGCTTATACAAAATTAGGATGGGGCTTGCTTGCATAGCAATTGCTCAATTCATGTTCACCGTTGTAATCAATAAATATTTATCGATCATGTAATCTATACTCAATACTGCATTTTTGCCCACGAATGGTTCTCATGTATGCATTCTTCTTCAGGCTTCATGCAATCCATTCTCAGGCAGAGAATGCTTGCAGTATGGGTCAGATTTACCCTGCTTACAAATCCTAGAATGGCTTTCCATGGCACTCAAATAAAATCCAGTCTCTGCCTTGGAAGCCTGCCATGGTTTGGGCCCTATCTGCCTCCTGGACATCTGCTCACACCTCTCTGCAAACTGTCTCTCTCTCCATTTTGGCCATACTGACCAAACCCACAAAGAACTCACAAAGTTCCTAGACCCCACAAAGTTCTCTACCACCTTAGGCATTCACATTCATATTCTCTTGATGGAAACCACCGCTGCCATGGTTCCTTGTTCTTATCAAATGTCTCGCTTCTTTAAGATTGGAAGTGGGGGAACCCGCCGATGATAAGCCTATCTTAAAGTACTCAGTTAAGAAGAGAGTTTTTAGAAAACAAAAGAGCAAAAACAAAGCATAAAACACCCAATAGGAGTTACTGACTATAGGCGATAAAAAGAGGACCCTGTTAAAGAAGTCGCAATCACCCAGCCACGTACGTGGCTTAAGAAGATGTAATGAATAGTAGTGATATTGATAACACATGTATGATAAAAAATATTTTGATTTTTGACTGGAGGGTGAAAATTTTAAAAACCTTTGATATTTAGACATGTTGAATTTGAGGCGGTGATGATGACAAGACATTGAAATTAACATGCCAATAGATATTATAATACAGACTGTGCTTAGAAGTAGCCAGATGGGAAAATATTGATTTGGGCAACATCAACTTAAAAATTAATGAGTTCTCCTGGGAATAATAAGGATGGAGAGGGAAGATGGCCAAGAGCTGAGACTTAGGAAATGTTCAAGGGGGGGAGGTGGAGGTAAGACCTGGGCAGAGAAGTGGAAGAAAACCAGAATCATCAAGTTCTGCCCACGTGGCTGTGTATTTTGGCAGAAGGTGGCCAGAGACTCAATAACGCAGCAAGGGTGTTAGAGAATGCCCTTAGATGGAGTTGGGGCTTTAGTGTAGATGCAGAATGACTCTCTTTTTCATTGTTATTGAATTCCAAGTGGTAAGATTGTAAGACTCAATGGAATATTCTAGGTCCATTTTTGTTCTTTGGCTATTAACATCCAAACATTGTTCTCAGGGTATAAGTTTTAATAATTAGTTTTGTTTTCTCCTCTATATCATTTCTCACCAAGTAAATTTTGAAGAACTCTGAACTCTCACCCCCAGAAAGTGTCACAAAGTGAATAAGTATATTTAAAATGCAAAGGACTTGCGTTTTGCTATTAATTCTGCCATTTATTATGGGGCAACTTTGAGAGAAACTTGTCTATAGTTTAGTCTCACAGTTTGTAAAGTAGGATTCATATTAGCCCCCTCTAATCAGCAAAGGGGTATAAAGATTTAAGTTAATGTTGTAAATGGTTTTGCTCCCCAAAGCTGGGAAGTACTATAGGCATGGACAATTATGTTTATGTGTAATAGAAACAACTTGTGTGTGGGGTAGGAATTCATTTCAAACATTTATGGGACACTATAACTAGCTTTCTTTGAATTTCAAAATGATGTCTAAAACATCTTTCAGAATTGTAATTGTTCTATAGTACTTGATTGCTTTTATTTCCAAATGGCTTTGTTTCCCTAGGATGCCCAAGGCTGGTATCTGTGGTGCCAGGAAAACTGTTAGTTTGTCATCATGAGTCCAAATGATTGATTTTTTAAAAGTTTTTTTCATAAAAGTAATAGGTGGCAATTATTTAAAAAATCACAAGTACATTCAAACATAAAGGAGAAAAACATGATGAGTTCACAGCCTCCAAAAAAACCGGCAAGACCATTTTGACGTATTTCTTTCCACTGACTGATTTGAAAAAAACAACCAAATGGATGCTTTTGCATCCATGATGTCATCTGATGCTCTTGCCAACCCTCTGTGGTAGATGATGGCCCATAGCCTAGCTTGACTCACCAAGGATCTGAACGACATGGAATGCAAGCAACTTGTCCAAGATCACCGTATAGCAGGGAGTGGATGCAGGACGTGTGTTCTGACTCGAAAAACTACAGCTACTTCCCCTATACCAGGTTGCATCTTGATAGTTGACCAGGTTGCATCTTGATAGTTTACCAGTCCTAGGCTTTGAAAGAACCTAGGTTCTGTTTCGATACTATTTTATCAATGTGTTTATGTGGCAGCCGCTTGGTGTCACCTTCCCAAACATAGCGGCAAATCTTCCTTTCACTTCTTTACAGAGACCCTTGTAGCCAATGACGCTACAATATAAATACAATGCAATACAGTATAAAAATAGTTCAACATATTGTTTCTGTCTTCTAGAACACTCTGGAATACTTAGAGGGGTCTTCCCATTGCTTAAGAATCAACTATTTTCACATACTTCTGCTTTTTCATACTCTCGTAAACATGGTCAGCGAGCTACCTTGTGCTTTTATCTTGCCTGCAGTTGTTGCATCTTCTTCTCCATCTGAACAGATAGCAATGTTGGAAGAGAGGTGAGTGGAAAACACACCTGTTTGCTGGTATTTGGAGCCCCCAGTGATAAACAGCCATCCTGAGCCTTTCAATACTGCTCTAGAATGACATGATTATTCTTCCAAGATTCAGATTAAATTTTAAAAGTTCTATGAGTAGAATTTATTTTTAAAACAGTTTTACATTTATAGAAAAATTGGCAAGATGGTACAGATGGTTCCCAAATACCTCACATCCCATTTCCCATATTAACATCTTACATGAGCATTTGTTACAGTTTATGAGCAAATACTGACATAATATTTTTAATTAAGTGTGTGTCATTCACTTTTTTTTGGCTTTTACCTAATGCCTTTTTTTTTTCCGTTCCTCATTCTCCTCCAAGATTCCACATTGCGTTTAGCTGTCGTGTCTTCTTATGTTCTTTTTGTCTGTGACAGTATCTCAGACTGCCCTGGTTTTAGACGATGTTGACCATTTTGAGGAGTACTGGTTAGGTGCACTTTAGAATGCACAACTTTGGGAATTTATCTCATGATTAGACTGGTTTTATGGGTTTTGAGGAAGAAGATCACTGATGTAAAGTGTCACGGTCATCATATAATGTCAAGGGTGCAGACCACGCCCATAACCAATCACTGCTGAGGTTGACCTTGATCATCTGGCCAAAGTAGGGTCAGTCAGGTTTCTTCACAGTAAAGTTACTCTTTTCAGATTAACTTTTGCCATTGGTTCTTTGGAGGATCCTTGACCTATGTTATTTTAAAATCGCACCACTAATTTCCATTTAGGGGGTGTGCAAACAAAACAAAAGAATGACGTTGTTATTTGGTTAAGACTGAAAATGTAAATCCAAACCAAAGAAAAGCTTTGTCCTTCACGGGAGCATCACTGCCATAGTTCCCTGTAACGAGGCGCTACTCAGTTGGTTCTGTAAAATTTTCTTTAGGTCTGGGATATTTGGGGCTGATAAAAATGCTTAATGAGTTTCTGAGGCTTTGTCCCTGGCTTCTTTTGCAACTCATCATGGACACCTCAATTTGTTTTTTCTACTTGGATTTTCAAAATAATTTTATCTTCATTCTACTTTTGACACAGATTGAGTCTCCTTTTTTAAGGGCATGTAGGTGTTCATCATTATTTCCCTTTAAAGTCAGACACCCGCTCAGACACAGAAAAGCAGACACTGCATATTCTCACTCACGTGGGAGCTAAATGATCACAAGGATGGAAATAACAGACACTGGGACACCAATAGGGGAGAGAGGGGTTAGTGTTCAGAAACTCCTGTGGGACACAATGTTCACTATCTGGGAAATGGGCCATCCGATTCCCAATCCCCACCACGACATGGTATGTCCTTGTAATGAATAAGCCTGTGTACCCTCGAATCTAAAATAAAAAATAAAATCATTTTTTAAAAATGTCAGAAGTCAGCCAGGCTCGGTGGCTCAGCCTGTCATCCCGCGCCTTTGGGAGGCTGAGGTGAGTGGATTGCCTGAGCCCGTGGGTTCGAGACCCGCCTGGGCAGCAAGACCTCATCTCTACAATAAATAAAAAAAACAGCTGGGCGTGGTAGTGCATACCTGTAATTCCGGCTACTCGGAAGGCTGAGGCGGAAGGATCGCCGGAGCCCAGCAGGTCGAGGCTGCGGTGGCTGGAAGCGGCCACTGCACTCCAGTCTGTGCAACAGAGTGAGACTCCAACTCAAAAAAAAAAAAAAAAATGTCAGAAGTCTAGGTGTGAGGTTTACATTTTCTCTTGACGAATAATCTAATCAGAACGTTTTCCTAATGGCCCAACGGGTAGCTTAGGTGGATACTCACAGGTATCCACCTGAACCCCAGCATTTTCTCAGGATCAATATGTAGCTGTGATTTTCACATCGATAGTGTGGTTTGTTTATACAAACGCTGCCTTGAAGTCTAGAAACTTGGATTCTGATAGCCTAGACTGATTCATGCATTAACTTTTTGGAAGCCATTTACTACATTGACTTATTTGAACTTCCTTAACCCAATGAGAATCATGAGGGGAGAGAGTGTGAGTTTCATTTTGTAGAACATAGAGCCCCAGATGCAGACTTTGACACAGGTCAATGAATCAAGGAGGAATCTGGACCAGGGCTATGTTTTTAGGCCCCAAGATATCCCTTGTTCACTGTATATATCTTAGAGCTGCTGCATCAGTCTCTTTCTCTGGTGAATTGAAGCCCATAGGTGTGGGGTTCAGGGTGGTATGGACTTGGTTCTCCTTCTCTCAGGGTTTCCCTTTGTAAGTTAGCCAAGGGTAGGTTGGCCAGAGCAAAGATGGTGCAGGACTTGTGAGGGCAGCCAAGTTCGGGGTGACTCATGGGAGGATCTGACGGGTGTCTTCTTTGCTGGATTTCTCTAACCTTAAAAGCTTTTGTTGCAAAGATTATTGCCTGAGGAACTGGATTGATAGCTTCCCTCTTGACCAGCCTTAATCAGATCTGAAGATGACAAACTCAGATGAGGAGACACGCAAAGTTGGCACACACATCCCATGGGAAGGCAGAGCTGATCATCCAGAAGATAACTGTTAGAACCCAAAATAAATAATATGACTCTGTCCACTATGAGCCTGAAGCAAACTGGCCATTTTATTAAATAGCAAACTGCAAGTTGTATATTTTAGGTCCAGCAGCAAAAAGGCTGGCCGTTCCTCCCAGTGTAATTCTATCTACATTTCTTATTTAGGTAACTATGAGTTTTGTAGATGCCCAAATGTATATTATGAAAAACAAAATGTATGCAAACTGTGTGCTTTCTAAGGTCATATTTCCCCCCTAGGTTTCTCAGGCTTGAATGTATGCATCATTCAAGTCCTGCCTTTATAATTTATCAGTAAGAGCACTCCATAAAGTACATTCTGATATCTCACAGCTGTGTATAATATATTCTGTCTACCCATACAGTAGAAATAAAATTTTTATTTGCATCATCTAAAAGAAATACCAGTGTATAAATACATAAGCAAAGCTCATAAAAAAACGGTCTTCTGACTACAGATACTGCTGTGGAAATTTTGTGCAACCAATTAAAAAGCTGAGAGATGGCTTCATTATCCATGCACATAGATAATAAATACTGTACTCAGCAAATAGCACAGTTACTCAATTTCTTAAAAATGTTGCACCACATTCTACAAGTGCTACCACAGTCTGCCTCTAAGTTTTCCTTGGAATATTTGTAAATCAAGCCTCTTTGAGGAAAACACTTTTGCCAAAAAAAGGGCTTCTTTTGGAATAGGATACTGGAATATGTAGATGAAATGGGAAATGTTTCTGTGGTTGAATTATTTTGCCTTCGGGAAACTCAGCAATGCCAACTGCCACCAAGAGCCTGGAAGGAAACAATCCAGAGAACTGAGGATGCTCTTTTTGTTTGATTTGTGCAGCCTCGGCCTGATTACGAAACAGGAGTCCACATCAGCGCCTCCCCAGCTTCCCCAAAGTCAAGGTGTGAAGTTACTACCTCTCTTAGACCCCCCGGCTGGCAGAGGTGCATGCTAATGTCTCGATAAGGAGACCTGAATTTCATGCGCCATCTCCTTCCTCCTAAGACATAGAGCTCCTCAAGTGAGTTCTATTAAGTGCAAAGACTTTTTTCTCCAAGGATGTGAGGCATGGGTGAAAATCTTCCAGACGTTTGGAATTGTGGCTGGAATACCCATGTGGAAATCATTCTGTCCTCCTCATTGCTAAGGTTGGGTGGGGGGTGATACAGGACACCAGTTTTAGCATCCTTCCTCTGTCCAACGTAGCCGGCCCTTGAACAATGGAATTCGTGATTACTCCATTTAACAATTCGCTGGTGTCGGAAACTCAGAACTACCAGGAGTAGCTTATCATTGAACTCCTCATTTATGTTTCTGTGGAGGAGCTTTTTTAAAGGCTTGCGATCACTTTCTTGACCGTTTTAGCTGACTTTTCAAAGATTGCAATGATGTCCACGGTGACTCCTTGGCGTGTGGTGTGGTTTTCAGTAGTTGTGGGGAAAAGTTCGGATGGATCTGCAGTTTTCACTCCATAACTGCAGATATTTTAAAGCTGCCATAATCCAATTCAAATAACGTGCCAGCGCTCTTATAAATTCAGTTAATTGCACTCTCTAGTCTGGCTTTGCAAGAGCTGTATAGCTGGATCAGAACTCACTTTGTTTCTGTACATTCCAAGGTGTGAATCCCACGGGCTCCTGAACAGAAATCCAGGTCTTGGCAAAGCTTTGAGAATAACGCCAGTGAAACCAGCTGATGAGCCCTTTGCACAGTCATGTGATCTTCCTTAGGTCCACAGGCTCTCTTGTTTTATAGAAAAGGAAAGCAAAGGGGTTCATCCCTAGAGACTCAGTTCATCTCAGCCCTGAGGGCCACGTGTCCTCTCATTACTCAGCCTGGGCTTATAGTTCTCCCTCTGCCTCCTCGCCACATGGCCAAGGGTCTCAGCTCACCGCTATGCCATTGGCCATATTTCTGACTTTTGGTTTGTCCCTGTTTCCCATTCCCTGAGCCCCTGCTGAGATCTCTCCCTGTGGCTCTCTGTGGACTTAGATGGTTCCTCTTCAGGTCTCAGCTTCAGTGCTCCCCAAGCCCCACAGAAAAAGGCTTTCCTGGCCCATCCAGGAAGGACCATGCCCTGCCGCTCTACTATCAAGCTGTTTTTTCTTAATTTTTAAAAAAATTTGAAATGATATTTGATTTACTGGAAGGTTACAAGTATAACACAGAGTCCCCATAGTCCTGCAGATTCCCCGTGCTTGGTGCTCTCTGAAATGGTTTCGTTTGGCCGTCTCCCTTCCAATACATGAACGCAAGATATAAGGGCAGCTTTATCTGTGTCCTCTCTGAGATGCACAGGACTCAGAGATCTGAGCCTTCTGGAGTAAAGCCACCTTCAAGAGGTGAGGGTTCTGGCAGTGTAGACAGAGGGAGCTGGCTCCAGGTGACATGAAGGGACCTGAAGAAGAAAGAATGGACTTTATTAAAAGAAGCCATTAGTTGCAGCAACTTGGATGGATTTAGAGTCGATCATACTCAGTGCTCTGTCACAGAAACAAAGAACAGCGTACCCTATGTTCTCACTCATAAGCAGACCTTGAACAATTATAATATTATAAGAAAGCGATTAGCAGTAGTGGGAAACTGTCAGGAGAGGGGGAATGGAATTGGCAGTCGAGGGAAACTGCTAGGGGAGGGAAGGGCACATCTTATCAGCAAGGGTACCTGCATAATCAACGTTTGTATACCTAACCCTGAACTATACCCGACATCTTTATAATAAAAAAAAATTTTTTTAAAGCCATTAGATTTAGAGCCACTTGCTAGACTCTCCATCACCAGGTAGACAGTTAATAAATACTTTCCAAGTCAGGAAACAAGTGGGCAAACAACTGGACCAAGGAGCTGCAACTAAATAGTGGTAGAACTGGTACTGGTGCTGGTGGTGGGTATGTCTCACCCCAGAGTCCTGCTGTACTGCCTCTGAGCTCACAGAAGACTATGATGAACTCAAGCCATGGAAGGAGGTCACTTTTCAAGGTCTCCACACTACCGCTGGCTGTCTCCCTGTAACCCAGAAGGGCTTCCAGGGTCTTCCACTCAGTCGATCTTCCACCTCCAGCCAACCCTCCACAGATGTTGACAGGTGTGACCACCAGAACCAGCATCTCTGCTTTCTCCATTGGAACCCTCATCTCTTGCAAAGGGGTTCATCCCTGGAGATTCAGTTCATCTCAGCCCTGAGGACCATGTGTCCTCTCGTAACTCAGCTTGGGCTTATAGTCCTCCCTCTGCCTCCTCGCCACATGGCCAAGGGACCCAGCTCACCGCTATGCCATTGGCCATATTTCTGACTTTTGGTTTGTCCCTGTTCCTCACTCCCTGGGCCCTCAACCACAGAGAGTTTTAAACGCTTTTGTGACCAGCTTGAGAATTTTTCGAAGAGGCTGTGTCAGACAGTTAATACCGGAGTAGTAATCCTTTTGTAACCTGAATATAACTGCAGACTTCCACATCGAGCATGATAAAATGGTGTGGATTTAAAAGTATTTGGGGAACTGTAAAATGTCTAGGATTAAAATTTCAATACCATTTGTGCCCAATAAATGGGAACTCTTTAGTAACTTAAAACTGTGCTATTATGACTCAGGTCTGAAAATTATGAGTCCTGCTTGAAGAAATGGGAAGAACATGCGAGAGAATCTGGGCCCATCCTTCACCTTGAGGAATATACTGTGGTCATACCAAATAGCAGGAACATGACCTCATAGGAGAGCAAGCCCAGAGAAATTACCGTATTTGTTAAGAAAGTGATACACTCTCCAGAAGAGAAAAATGTTATACTTTCCACTCGGATTGTTTATGGAAATGGGGCTAAATTGAACCTGTGTCGGTGTATTAACTGGTTCAACAGACAGGTCCCCAAGAAATAAGATCATATAATAGTTTATTGAATGACTTGATTTTTTTTTTTTTTTTTTTTTTACATAAACCAGTCTAGTCAGTCTGAACTGGAAAATTAATTTTGTCTATAGAATCACTTACTAAAGCATATAAAATTAGACTCCGTAAGTACAGAGGAGAATTGGCATTGTATTTAACAGATTCGCTGGAACTTAAATAAATAGACTTAGTCTTAATACAGCTAAAGCCTTGAGACTTTTAATAGGGAGTGGATCTTAAGTATTAATTCGTCACTTCAAAAGTCACGTTTGTGCATTTTAGTTGCTTATTGAAGGACTGAATTATATAGCTTGACTATGATAATAACCCAGCACGTGCTATAGGTCTTGAAGGCATAAATTGACTTTTGTTTCCTTTAAGGTCCAAAATTTTAATGGTCAGATTGACAGAGAATTCATCAAATTTAACATTCATCATGACTTAATGGATTATATAGTGTTTCCCTGAGCTTACTCGACTTCCAAATATTTTCACTGTGTCATTTATATAATAAGCTTCTGCTGCCAAACTCTTGCCGATGGGAATGAAAAATGGTGCTGCTTTTCTTTTGATTTAGGGGTGAGCTTATGGGACCAGAGAAGTGCTTATGAAGTCGTCAGTGCCTCTTTTCTGAATGGAGACTTCTGGATCCCAATAAAGAGCATCGACTCAAAGGTCAGTTCTTTTCTTTTTCTTTTTTATCCCCCCCCCCATTTTGCGATTGCTGAAGTGCTAAAAATCACACTAACTGCACTTACATCCTTTTAGTCAAGTTTTGTCTTTACCTATTTTAATAACTCTGTCCTCGTGGAAAGAAAGCTTTTTTCTTAAGAAGATAAAATGCAAACAAATTTTGATGTGGCAGTTCTGATGAGTGACTTAGCATTACTTGCATCTATTGAAAATTGTTTTTCAGACAAACACTAGGATTACAATTCCAGATATATAGCTTCTATGTTTGGCTTACTTGAGTGAGTGATGAGATTTTTCTATATTCATGTCTATTTAATCAACATTTGGGGTTTTTTAAATTGGTGATAGAAATATCCTTATGCAACTTAAAAACTTGTGCAGTGGGTTTTATACAGTCTAAATTTTGCATACCCTGATATGTTTGATTTGAGCTTTTTATGATGTAAGAGAATAATATAAAAATAATTGAAATCATAGTGACTAAATTTAATATTTCGGTGAGTTTTATTTGCAAAATTGACATGACTTTCTTAAATTTCAGAACTTGTAGGAACAGTTGGAAAGTGATAAAATCTATAAAACATGAGCTCTTTGGAGAGATCATACAGATGGCTTTGTCCTTGTGTTATATGGAACTATTTTTAGATCATTTTTCATAATAGAAAACAGACATTTTAAAGAACAGTTGAGATTGCGAAAATCCCCTGCAGTTTCCTGGAATGGGCCACCTTTATGTGCGGAATGATAAGATGATTTACATCTAGAGAGCTTGCATTTGAAACTGAGCAATAAGAAAGGTTGGTGGTTTGATTAACGGAGCCAAATGCCAAATCTTCACTCCTTAAAACATATCTGTTTCAATGGGGATTGTTACAAATGAATACACAAAGTACAGGTCAATATGGTGGTCTTGATATTTCCTGGAAGAAAAACTTAAGATATTAAAGACAATCTCATCATGCTATTGATTTGCAAAATTAGAAATAACATGATAGATTCAGAAAAAGAGGAGCGTACTGTTTTATAAAGAAAGTCTGTTTAGAATCTTTACAGGCACGAATAATATAAAAATACACAACAATCTGAGGTTTCCTGGATGGTGGAAGCTATTACTGGAATGTTCTCTTGGGATAGAGTTGCCAGATTTAGCAATAAAGATATAGAATGCCTGGTTAAATTTTGATTTCAGATGAACAATGTATTTTATTTTTAGTATAAATATATTCCATGCAATATTTGGGCCATATACCTGAAATGGCCCAAATATTGTGGTTTACCTGAAATACATGTTTAGCTGGGTGTCCTGTCTTTCATCTGGCAACCCTCTGGAGGCATAAAAGCAACAAGCTGCTGAGGGTTATGGGCTCACCCTTGGAGTGGACAGGTTCAAGTTTACTCTGCTTCTTGACATCCACCCAGCTTCCTCTTTCCTGCCCCCCAGGCGGACATCACGAGGAGTGGGAGGTGGAATTGGCACGTCTACTGCTGGCCAAGCTTACTACCTGTCAATTGTGGGACATGACACCATCTCTGTATAAAACTAGGAAAAGCCATCATTGTTTGGTAGATGTCCCAAATCCTCTGAGATGCTACCTCCAGGATTAGAACCATGTGGGTGGAAGTCCCATACCTTTTGTACTAAAATCCCTCGAGTTACTGACATTATGTAAGGGAATAGGTCCCTAGGTGAGTTGGGAACAGCATTTTATTGTAATACCATGGGGATTCTCCCAACATGTAGCTTATGGCATCAGCAGACGGCTCTATAATTACAATATATACTTGTATTTGGTGGGAAACGACCAAAACCCTGCGTGAAAAGGGGTGCATATCAATGTCTGTGACGCGTGTGTACTATTCCACGGGGTGGAATAGCAATGCCGGCTAGTGGTGTGCTTGTATCTGTCCTTGTTATCAACAGCAGTCAAGATTTTAAACTGCAACAACAAAGTGTATTTTCAAGTATACAAACCATACTCATGTCGGTGAATATTTTTACAGGACAACTATGCCGGTTGTACTTCAGAAGATAGACTTTTAGATTTGCTTCTTGCTCTCTGCTTCCTTCATTGAAGTCAATGTTTAATTGCGCACCCATTATGTGCCAGGTGCTAGGTGTGCCATCAGTGAAGAAGGCAGGCAAGCTGTCTGTCCCCTGCAACTTACATTCCAGTGAGGAAGACGTCAATAAAATAAATTCAGATCGTGATAAGGGATAAGAGAGAAACAACAAAGTAGTTGAGTGGCCAACAGGGGAGATTCATTTTGACAAACTGGCCAGGAAAACCCTTTCTAAGAAGATGTTAAGATATTGAACCTTTTCAATGAGTTTCAAAGAGCCAACCATGAGAAGATCAAGTGGTGAGAGTCTAGTGTGTAAGGAGGAGAAGAGGGTGGATGTGTCTGGATCATGGGAAATGAGACAGACACACAGACTTGGGGTAATGTAGGAACAGCAGAGGCCAAAATTCCCCACAAGGCTCCTTCCACATGGGACCTTGCTGTAGAAATAGTAGCCGATAAAAAAAACATGCTTATCCTGAGATGCTGACTACTGTAATGGTTAAATATTTTTATTTAACATAACATTAATTTTCTGTAACTATTCCTCCCCAGAGGTGACATGGAGCACTCACAACCATGAAATCCGTTCCTGATTTATACAGAAACCCCTACCTCTTTTTTTTTTATAGCATGGATTTTATTGTTCATAGTGTGCAATAACAGTTTTAAATGCAATTATCAGAATATTTGACTCATCTAAGGAATCACTGAAATTACGCAAATCATAGTTTGGGGCCTGTCCCTGGAGGATGCCTTAAACTGGCCAGAAGAGACAAACACAGCCCATTCTCAGGCATGGAACCAGCCTAGGGAACGCTTCTGGGTCCAGGGACTGGGAGGGTGGGAGACTGGATAATCACAGCAAGTACAGACCCTTACAGAGCCCTAGGGTCCCACTTGGATGTGATGGGCCTTATAGCTTGCTAGGATGACCTTTTGACCTACATGCCCTGCTGGGGACAAGGTCTAGAAGTTGACAAATCTGTTGCTCCAACCTACAGCAGGCAGCAACCACCAAGGATCATGAAACCTCCATGAATGGATGGCTTAGTGCTGGAATGTGGGCTGGGCCAGGGGCTCACACCCACCAAGATGTGGGCTCCGCTCTGGTGCCCACCAGGCAGGAAATGCTGCTGACTTCCTGGGGCTCTTGTGCACCTGAGACGCTGTGGGAGTGCATGCTTAACCCCACTCCTTGCTTGGATCCCTGTCAGGGGCAGAAGTGGGGGAACAGGGTGGGCGAGGACTGGCAGGGGATGTGGGAATAGAAACGCCTACCTCGTAAGCATCGAGAACTGCCTCCCTCTCTGTCCTGGGTGGTCGCACAGGCCTCCTCACTGCTGTCTTCGATCCCCTTCTGGGTCCCATGCTGATGTTCCATCCCAAGCCCAGTAGGCTGGAACTGGAGGTGCAGAGAGACGGTTGGCAATGCCACGGGAACCTGAGACTTGGATACTCTCATGCAGAAAAGGGACCTGAGACTCTGAGTCATGTCTTTTCGGCCTTTCCTCTGGATGACTTTCCAAAGTTGTCTCTCTAGATTTCAGATTTACCTCCTCAATCCTGCTTGAGACCTTCAGAGGATCCTCGTGTCCACAGCATGAAGGCATGCTCTAGGCTTGGCATACAAAGCACATCACTGAGTGGTCCAGACGCACTTGTCAATAACCACCGCTCCACCCCATGGCCTGCACCCTCCATGCCCTCTCTCCCCATACCAGGGAGGTACTTTTATTCCTCCTGGGACACAGGTGTTTGAGGCTGCCCTTGTGACCTACAGGCTGTACTCGTCCCGTAAAAAGCAGTGACGAGTTCCTGGGGATTTCATCATTCATTACCAAATCTTAATGGTATGCCTGCTGTACCCTTGGTGCTGGAGCTGCCTATCTGCCCTGGTGGGTGGTCAGGAGAGACCTCTCTGTGGAGGGCGACCTCCGAGGGTGACCCAAACGATGTGACGGGGGAGCCAGGCATGTGGAGATCTGCGAAAGGACATCCAGGCAGAGGAAGAGCAAGCAGAAGGCTGGGACAGAGGGAGGGAAGGAAGGAGTCCAGATGAGGTAGAACTGCTATGAGAAGGTGCCTTGGGAACTGGAGTCGGGGAGTTTAGTGAGTTTCAACACAGAGCTCTGCCAGCTGTGCAAAGACTGCAGCATGCAGTCCAGAATGAAAACGGAGAGTGTTGAGAAGGCTGGTGCAACCGTCCAGGACGGGGAGCTCAAGCTCTGCTCATGTTCAGCAGCGAGAAGAGCACAGACTGGGGATATATTTTGAACGGAAAGTCCATTGGACTTGCCAGTGGATTGGAGATGTCAAGGATAAGCCCTGTGTTTTGGCCCTGGCTACACAGGTAGGAGGGGACGCCATTTTCAACACCCCCGAAGAGAAAGCACCCCTTGTTTGATTTGGTGTTTATCACATCCTTGACTTACCAAGGACACTGGTTCCCAGCCTGGCTGCATGTTAGAGTCACCCAGAAACTTTAATAAATAACAGTGTTTAACCTCTAGTTGTTGATAGTTAATTTTAATGGGTTTAAGGAAAGCCCAAACATCTTCCTTTAACAAAAAAAAATGCCACTAGGTAATTTTAATGAGCACATAAGGTATTTTTAACGAGCACACACTTGTGGAAATTGATGATTCGTACAACACCACAGTACTGGTCAACTTGATTCAGCTGATTGAGGCAAAACTGCCATCAGGTTCTCTTTCTCTCTGAATGAGTTTTTAGTATGTCCTTTCCAATTCAAGAGTCAAGTTGTTCTGTCACTAATCTCATATACAGTGGAAAGAGTAGAGAGACAGGAAAGAATGTGACCTTGTACATATTAGAGAGTTTGCAGCTTTTTGTTTGCTTGCTGTTTTCTACAACACAGAGGTGAGCTTATCTGCTTTCCCTTCTTCTTAGGGTCATCA